TGTGGAAAGAAAAAATTTGTAGCTTTCGTGGTTTAAGAGAAAATGGTATGTAGCGCTAACTTCCATTGTCGATGGAATTTAGATATCGAGAAAGTTACTACGTAGCGCTTGAAATGATATTTAATAAAAGTTGGAAATAATAGATTTCGATGGGTATAAAATTTTTTTAATTTTATTTATATAATTACATAAATTAAAAGACTTAGCAATATTTTGTGCGTTGACTTCGTAGCTATCTCTCTGTCGTTTAGGTCATCGTATATAATAAACTTTCCTCTTCGGAAGGCGATGCCGATGTAGTGGCCCAAGCTGGTTGAGCATCGCGATCCAGTATTGTTTAGACCCTTAAAGCCGACGCATCCAACCAGTTTAAAAGTTTCCTCGCCAGCACGCAAACATTTCGGGATCTTGTCGAGCTGTACAGGCCCAGAGATTTGAGCTGGTTCAAATGCTATAACACGATCTGAAAGAGAAAAAGTGTGTAAAGAAAATAATAATTGACAAAATAATTACGTTTTCTTGATATTTTGATTATGCATATTTAGACCTCCCTAATGTGTATGCTTAAAAAAAGATAGCAGACCATTACTTAAAAATTCTATGGGAAATTGATGATATTTAAAAAATGTTAACCTATATGTAGCAGCTTCCATTGCTCTGTTTTTCTATTTCTGCATGCAGGACAAATTCTTGGATCCACTTCAATGATGCGTTGCAGGGCTAAATCTTCGAAATTACTATCCAGCAGAAGCTCATCTGTGAGGAATGGCACGATTTTTCGACATTTTCACCACAACATTCTGATTGTTTGATTAAAGTTGGTTGCCGTGCAAATAAATTTTCATAAAGCGTGGCGATGTTGGTTGCCGCATCAATATATTGCATCGTATTGCTCTTTTTGATAATTGGTATTGTGCTCATAATAGCTTCAGCCCTAATTACATAGGTTTTTGGTGTAATTTTTAAAGAGCCCATAGTGTAATCGATGACATTGAATAGTAAGTTATCTTGTCTTTTATCCTTGATGTAATCTTTTATGTGTGCGTTGTCCACAGCGGCAGCGAGTAAAATTTGAAATAGACTATCAAAAGTACAGGTGTTAGATACTGTGATTTTACTATTCCCTATTTTAGTAAACTCTAATCCCATTGAGGAGCCGTTTTTTAAAATTGGTATTTTCTTGAAAGTCTCGAAAGTTAAACTGTCTTTGACAGCACTTTTATTCCTGCCTAAATATTTTCCAGGCTTAGAGACTTTTTCTATTCCTTCCCCTCTCCAATTTTCACAGGACTTTAAAGCCAGTCTTGCCCCTTTGTGGTTATCATGCGAACAATTCTTGCACATTCTTTTTTGGCTATAGTTTCCTTCCTCGTTGATCGCTTTGGAGCATTTTCTATGTACTACGTTACTGCATAAAACGCACGGATATCCCGATCCTGGTAAACAAATCGTTTTGAAAATTTCGCATTCTTCGTCTTCATTAAGTGTACTCTGTGTAATTTGATTTTCCCCTTCGGACATAGATGCTACTATAAATGGATCTTCATTTTGAATTAAGTCCATCTTCCCAGAATTATACGTATCTTCTAATATTTGCGTTTCAGACCCAGTTTCGTTTATGGTGATATCACTTTGGTCTCCTTTTGAATGTTTTAAATTTTTATCATCTTTTTTCGTTTCCTCCATTTCCAAAATGACCAAGCGGCCTTTGTCTTGCTCAAATTCATTTCGCTCTCTATATGAGCACTGGAAGCAGGGACTCTTCCACGGCCGAAAGAATCCCTGCAGATATTTGTCCATAAAGGTAAAGTTTCAACTTTCTTCAATAGCTGTGTTGCTATTTTTGGACATACTCGTGGGTTGTCTTTATTTCCCTCTTCGGAATTCAGTACAGAAAATACGTCCTTTTGAATGGTTAAGCCCCAATCGCGCCAACTGAATCCAATGCTTGATTCTACTTCGTTGTTTTCATTGATTTCTTCATCGTTTTCGGTTTCATCATAAAAGTCTATAGATGGCTCTTTATCTTTTATATCATTGTCTAATGCGATGTCTGTCGTGACTAAAATATTATGAATGAGATTTTTTATTTCAATAAAATTTGGAGTCTCTTCAGTCGCAAGCTGGGTGATCAAAAGCTCTGCATTATTCATTGTTATTGTGGCGTTACCAATTGTTTCACAAGAGCATATAAGTAGTATAGATTTTGTAATGGCTCGGGCAATTTTCAAATCTGTGGTTATAATCAATGTTCCAATCGCTATATGGTAAAATTCTTTAATTCTAGGCCTCACGACTTTCTTCAAGAAACGTGCCCACATATTCATGACATGAGCACAATCATTACGAATGTAACAGGCTGGCATTTTATTAATTTGAGGGTTGCAAGCATTTGCACATTCTTCAACAGTCAAAAAAGGTGTAAATGCAGACGTTATTGCGTTCATAAGAGCTCGAGATTCGTCGCATACCTAAAATAGTTGACGGAGTTGTATTTAGAAAATTATTGCACATTTGTTATGTGAGTATGGTAATAGCCATATTTAGAAATGTCTTATCATGATCAAGAAATACAAAACTGGTCAAAATGTTGAGGTACCATTTTTTTACCGGCACGGTATGTGTGTATATGTAGTAGAATCGCGGATGTTTCGCAATTTCTTTTACAATACATATCAGTTTTGCATGTACATACATACAAGTATGTAAGTATGTGTAGTATATTTCAAATTTGATTTTGTTGTTTAGTTACCACTTCAGCTGGATATTTCGCTCCAGATTTTAACCATTTCTTTAACCACGTTCCAATCGATACTGCATCTTGACATTCGGTGATTTGTCGTGATATTGGAAGGGAATACCTCTTGCACTTCAAACTTAATGTGTATAAAAATAACATTTTCAATATCTCAATTCTATCGACTAGGTGTATGGCGTCAAGTTAGCACTACATACCATTTTTTCTTAAAAACCGAAAGCTATAAATTTTTTCTTTCCACAACAAATTTTAAAGCTAAAAGCTACAATTA